CTGGCGTATATCGGGCAACAAAACCCTATACGATATGGCAGTTTCGCATACAAACCGCACTATAATAGAGCACTTGAGGAAAGACTACTCTTACTATCAAGTGATCAAATACAACGAGACCACCGGTAAAGTGATTAAGAAGTATACCGTCGATGGCTATGCGGACTCGTCGTGTTGGTCGCAGGGGTTGGGATGGTTGGTGTCCGGGTTCACCACTGCCTACAGATATACTAAATACGAGCACATCCTGAAGGCGGCCGAAGGTGTTGCCAACTATTTCATAGATAAGTCGCCTGAGGATGGAGTTCCCTATTGGGACTATGACGTGCCCCACGATGCCAACCATACCTACATTCCTCGGGACAGTTCGTCGGCCTCTACGGCCGCGTCGGGACTCATAGAGTTGTATGGGTTCACCAAAAACCAGAAATATTTGGACGGATTTCAAAGGATTATGGATTCGTTGAACTCCAAGGCATACAGAGCTGACGCCAAACCCGAGTATAAAATACCGGCGCTCGTCATGAATGGGACGACCAGTTTCATGAAAGGCATTTACGATACGGCTATGATATTTGCCGATTATTATTATGTCAAATCTTTTCAGTATTATTTGGATAATTAATTGTATAAATGTGATGTAACACAACTTAATGATAAAATAAAAAACATCTTTAATAATGACAGTAAAAAATTATTTTAATTTTACATTGCTTATAACTTTTAAATAATATGTGTGACATGACAGTTTTTTTGTCAAATCATTGTGTAGTCTGGGAAATTATGTTCCTGTTATTTTTAATTTATATAGATACTTACAGTACAATAAGTGAATACTTAATATTTAAAAATATCTAATAAAATAACTAGTACAGGCTTATAACATTATAATTGACTTATGCTATAAATATGTGTAACCCTAAAACGATTTAAAGGTTTTTACTAAATAGCGTATATTGTATATAAAAATTTATTAAACTTCTATCATGCTTTAATATTAAGAATTTCACTGAAATTATTGTGTATATTCATTATAAAAGTTCGAAAAAAGTTTAATAAAAATTTTGTATACACTAAAAGTTATTTAGTAAAAACCTTTAAATTGTTTTAGGTTTACACATATCTGTGGTATTTAAACAAATTCAGGTTTATATATAGGATATAAATTTAAAGCTTTTTAAATAAACTTCTATACTTTACTCATAAGCAATAGAAAAAAGCTTTAAATTTATATCCTATATATAAACCTGAATTTGTTTAAATACCACAGATATACAGTTAGTAATAATTGTATATGTAGTATAATTTTACAAAAAAAATAATTTCGCTATTTCAGTGAATTTCGTTATTTATTCAGTGACTGAATGTTTTGATAAAATATAAACTTCTCTATCTTTCTCTCGAATCTATATTTCTATTACTCTATGAAAGTTTAACATAAAGTCTTTCATTATTTAAGAGGTTATTATTTTAGAGGTATATAGAAATAAATATACAGTTTTAGAAATGTTTGGACAAATATATAGTAATACTATTAGCTGGTTATTCACAATTTTATTTGGATCAATTATTGCAAATTTTGTCAAATTTTATAGACATGTGTTTCAATTACCTCAGGGTCCTTTTCCACTGCCAATATTAGGCAATGTGTTGAGTGAGTCAAATGAATTTAACATAATTTAATAATAAAACTTTATAGCCTTTAAGGGCACAAAAGTCAATCAATTCATTACAATCAATGATTTACACAACACCTATGGACCGGTATATACACTTTGGATGGGAACGACACCAATGGTTATCATCGGTGACTATAATTTAGTTAAAAAGGCATTCAATTCAAAGAATAATGAATTAATGGGTCGTCCGGTGAGTGGATTAAGAAAATTGTTATTTAAATGTGGAAATGACGTGATTTGTGCCAATCATGGCCCGGTTTGGGCCAGCCTTAGACGGGTTGCCCACTCGGCGGTCAGGTATTTACGAAATGCTAATTATTTGCATTAATTCTGTTGTAAAAATCATATAATGGTTACAAACTTAGAAAACTAGCGGTAAGTGAGAAGTTGTCTGAATTGGTGGACGATGTGGTCAATGAAACCGTTGAGACAATGATTAGTAATGAAGGCATCGGTAAACCATTTAATCCCAAGACTTATATTTATATGTCTGTCCTCAACATAATCGCGTCGTCGGCTTTTGGCAAACGGTTTGTCGTTTAAAATAAATTTAGTAATAAATAAAAATTACACACAAATTAATACCGTTATAATAAATAGCTATTCCTTTGATGACAAAGAGCTCAAGTTTTATGAGAAAAGTTTTCAGTCGTTTAGAGCCAACACTAATGAGAAGGCGCTCTCCAATTACATACCATTCCTGAAGAGATTCTATTCAAAAAGTGTTAACAAAACTGTCGAAAGTTTTACAAATTTATCGATTAATTTAAAACAGAAATATTTGGATCGACTGAAAGTGCACTCAAAGGGAGAGATCCATGACTTCTGCGATGCGCTCATTGAAGCCAAAGAGGAGGCCATCGCTAAGGAGAAGGAGTCCGCCCTTCATCTCAACGATCAGAACCTATCGCTAGTTATTATGGATCTCTTCATAGGTTTTGTACAAAATTTAATAATTTTTTATTTATTGACTAAAAATAAATCAAATATGAATATATGCATAGCGGGTGCGGACACCACAGAGATAACGATGCGATGGATTGTACTATTGATGGCAAACAATATAGAAATGCAGTTAAGAATGAGACACGAAATCAATGATATTATCGGCGATAGAGTGGCAGACAATCACCACAAGAATGACTGCCATTATGTCAACGCTTTCATCGCTGAGACTCTTAGATACAGAAGTCCTGCACCGTTAGGTTTGGCACATGTGGCACTTTGTGACTATCAATTGGGTAATGATTTCAAAAAACAATTATAATTAAATTTTTTAAACGATCGGTTTATATATTAGAGAAATATCACATCAGTAAGGGATCACAGGTTTTCAGTAATCTGTACGCAATATCCCGTGACCCCAACCTATGGTCCAAACCGGATGTCTTCTCCCCCAACAGGTTCTTAGATAAGGACAACAAATACATGTCAGCCCTCCCGGGGTTCACACCCTTTGGAATCGGACGGCGTATATGTTTGGGTGAAAGGCTGGCGCTCGCGG